TAAAAACTATCCAGTTCAATGTAAGAATTGCAACTAAGTCCGAGTTTAACTGCTATTTTAATTACGGGACGAAAACTTTTACGAAAGAAACGGTGCAGACAGATTTAAAGACCAGAAAAATGAATTCCAGAAAAAACCAGACTTTTCTAAACGTTACCATGGCTTCTGCCGTACGCTGTAACTCCGGAAGTGAGAGAATTGAAAAGAGAGCTCCATTGACGTAGGAAAGGATGCTGGTATTCTCATGACTTATGAGATCCGTCAGCAATTTGAGAACTCGGTTACTCATTGGTACACAGCGTTGCTTGCCTATAAATTGACAAAACAAATTGGCCTCCTTAAGCATCAGAAATATAGTATGAACTTCTTCTAACATTCCGCCTGATGTCAATGACAGGGCCTATAGGAGAAGAAATTAATTATAGGCATCAAGTTAAAGAAGAAATTTGGGTTTGTGTTAGGTTTAAGACACGGAGATAAGTACTCTTCCCGAAATTTAGCGCACAAAATTCTGTATTGCGGGAGAGCTTTCCTATATCTCTTTCCTGCCGGGACCGCATCAATGACTCCAACCAAGCTCAGTAGCCCGGATACTTTGGTATCACGTACAATTAAGGAATAAATTTCAACTAAAGGACTTACTCTCTGTTGTATGGATGATGTCAATTTATATAGTGTTTAACATGGTTCTTAGGTTTTAACAGCGAATTTTATTGCTTGTTAGTTTTTTTATCAACCATCCGATAGTTGTTCGGTTTATTCTTTGTTGAAACCACGTAAATATGCCACGGGGGTAATGATTTAATTTACTTCAAATTTTATGAACATTATTCTAACAAATCCAGTTTTGCAATAATTTTGCGGTTAAGGATATTTTATAAGTAGCGCCATACTATCATCTAACCGAAGAGTTCAGTTTTACGGTAACGATGGTAATGTTAAAAATGTTTCTTTTGCGTACAGCAATAGCAAGTAAAACCAACCGATAAGTCTAGTACGATCCAGTCGTTACAAATATTAGAGAGCAAGTTAAATTATACTATCAACATAGTCTACACATAAATACTTAGCTATAACACAAACATTGTATTATTCAAGCTGCTTTTCGTCTAATTTCTGTTAAAACACAGGGTTAAAGAGAAATGCTACCTCTAAATGCAAAAGGAACGACTGTCATTTTAAAACAGGTCCCTTAAAAAACATCTGCGGTGTTAGGTTACTTTAGTTATACTTAAAAACTATTCACCAATCTGAATGAAGTGTAAAAATTATGGTCAATCAAACATC